CCCCAACACACAGATGCCACATGCACCCAAGGACAACCCTGCGCCACACCCAACTAACAGCAGCGCAGATCGGCTATGGCTGCCTRCTCCTTCCCTGCTCGCCCGTGAGCGCGGGGGCGCCAGCCAGCAAATAGCGCAGCACCGCTTGCACARCAACGCTTGTTCAACATGCAGCCYGCACCCGAATGCCCAATGCGGAGGCAGGCCCTTTGCTATATGGAAGTGGCCTGCCTACTTGCTGTCCCAAGCTGCGCTGCGCCTTTCCCAAGAAGCTTCCGGTAGGCCCYGGTAGGCTGAGGCCTAATCYGCACATCTCAGGCCCTRGMCCTGTAGTGKTTGCTCGCACCCAACTGTCAACGGCTTGTGTTAGGCCCACATCCCRAATCCAACCCAGGGCCTGCCTTCGACAYAGGCTGCCCAGGGTGTGGGTTCCTTCAACCAACTGGCGCTGCGCAACTGCCTGAATTTCCTGAGTTGCRTGGTGACCAAAATAAGGGCCCTCAAGCCCTCGTCGAGCCTGCCTTCACTTAGGGCGGCCGACGTGCTGTATGGTAGGGCCTRAAAGGGGCTCAYCGGGGCTTCAACCTCGCATTCCCTCCTCCATAACTTCGATAGTCCTCTGCGAAGTTCAGCCTTCAATAACCTGGCGCTTTCCCTTCTGCAGAGATTTCTCGTACTGTGCTACGACTTGRCGAGCGGTCTRCATGAGTTCCTCCYGGGTGAACCAGTGGTCCTCCTTGGGACGAGTATGATGTTGGARCCGAACGAGGTACTGCAGCTTCRRMTTCGGAGGGCGTCCCCTGCCTGTGGGTCTCGGAACTGGCAGCTCCCTATGATCCACTATGTCATCAATATCCATTTCTCCATCCATGGTTGGGGGCAGCATTGAGCGACGAGAAGGAAACTCATCTGTTTCCTTGAAAGGTGCAAATTTGGAGGCCTGAAAGAACGGGTAAGTGCGAAGATCACCAGGGATCCGGACTACATAAGATGGCCCATCCGGATCAGTCCCAACAACGTCTAAGACTTCCCAAGGCCCAAAGTACTGAGGCATAACTTTGCAGGAAATCCCGTACTCCTGTCCCAGTTCTGAGGACTTTACCCAGACTCTATCCCCAACCTGAAACGTAGAAGGGCGGCGGTGTTTATTCTCAGATTCTATCATTGGCGCCTGTGCCTTCTGCATTTGTTCTACCGYCTGCTGCATCTTCTGTTTATACCGATAGGCAAATTCTAAGGTACCTGGTGCAGCAGTTGACTGATTCTCAGGAAGAAGGAAGTCTAAGGGCAGGCGAGGCTTCAAAGTCAACARTAAGCTGTKTGGGCTCACTCCGATAGCRTTGTGTACAGCGTTGTTCTACAAGCCGACAATGAGAGCCAGCTTCTCATCCCAGTCCACCTGGTTGGGCTTGATGTAATGCCTCAACAAGTGTTGTACAGTGCGGTTCAGTTGCTCCGCCTGGCCGTTGGCCTCTAGGTGGTTCCCAGAAGTCATCTGCAACTGGGTTCCCTGCTCCCCAGCAGCGGCCTTCYACAACTCRCTAGTGAATCGGACATCCCTGTCACTCACTATGGATTTGGGCAAACCAAAATCCCTGACCCCGTTCTCTTTGAACAATTTGATGACATACTCGGTCTTCGCAGTCTCCGGCATGGCTACTAATCTAGCATACTTACTAAACCTATCCACAATGACGAAGATGTGTCTCATCCCACTCTTGCTGGTGACCGGCGTATCMATGAAGTCCATGGACAAGCTCTCACCAGGCTTTTCCGAAATCGAAAGGGGCTTCAGGARCCCAAGAAGAGCSTGAGTACGTGGTTTGTCTCTCTGACAGACYTGACATGTCTCCAYGTACARCTGGGCATCTCGCATCATCCGGGCCACCATAACCGCTGCAACAGATTGGCTGCGGTCTTCTTGTACCCAAAATGGACRRTGGCATTATGGCACTCGCCTAAAAACAAACTACGCAAAGACTCTCTATTTGGAACACACAATCGTTTATTCCYTGCCTTCTCAAGGAACAACAAGCCGTTRACCAACTCAAACTCGGCAGAAGTCTTTTTGTCCTTCGCCTCTAGTCTGCGTATGATCTCAAACATAAACCGGTCATCGCGATAGGCTTCCACCAAAGAGCGAGTTACATCGTCCGTCAGATCGAACTCAGTTATCAGCGCACCTGAGAAATCAGGTCTACGSGACAAGGCATCCGCAACCTTGTTGCACTTCCCTTTCAGATATTGGGGGTCAAAGTCATACTGCTCAATGACTTCGATCCAACGCTTCAAAGCGTCAGAAATCACCGGCTGAGTTCTCATCCATCTCAGAGTCTGATGATCTTCTGAGGATGAAGAACCTCCCAAGGAGGTAGTGCCTCCAATGTGTCAGTGCCTTGTACACCACATAGAGTTCGTTCTCATAGGTCGATTTTGCCAACTACTGAGACGACATTTTCTTGCACATGTACTCGACTGGCCTCCCTCCTGCTGTGCAAGCACGGCGCCAATGCCATATTGGCTCGCATCCGTGGTAACTAGGAATGGCTTATCAGGCTCGGGAAGTTTCAAGACCTCATAGTGCTTCAACGCATGCTTCAGATGCCTGAAAGCAGCCTCGCACTCGTCTGTCCATTCCCATGGGGTGTCAAGGCAGGTTAGATCAGTCAAAGGGGCGGCCACTATGCTATAGTTCTTTACGAAAGTTCTATAGTAGCCCATCATCCCTAAGAAAGATCTCATCTCAGTCACAGACTGAGGACGTGGCCAATCACGAATGCTGGCCACCTTCGCGTCATCGGGCTTCAACCCTTCCGCAAAAATCTCATGACCCAAGCACAAGATACGGGTGCGGCCAAATT